TTGTGGAATAATTCTTAACCTTTTATCAGCTGTTTGGTCTCTCGTTCTGACGGCACCCATTCACTGCAGAGCATCCACTGGTGAGCAGATTTGTGATTGAGGTGTGTGTTTTGTGACAGCTGTCAGCTGCTGGACCTGCCGTGGGAGGATGTGTTAGTTACACACGTGTTCTGTTACCTGCCGCTGCGTCACCTGGTCAGCCTGCAGTGCGTCAGCAAGAGCTTTCGTTCTCTCATCCAGCACTTTGCAGTATCTGCAAAATGTTAATTATTTGACCAAAATAAGATCATACAAAATGCATCATACAAAATGCATGTTATTTACTATACTAATATAGTAATAATAATAATAATGTAAATAAATATTATTGTTGTTGTTACTATTATTACTAAATTAAAGTACTAAAAATGCTAAATGTTATTTAGTGCTAATATTAATTATTTCTTCTTGTTACTGCTTATTTTTATTTAGTGTTATTATTACTATTATTTATTGTGTATTTATTATTATTATTACATAGAAATAATAAAAAATAAGAAATATTGCTATCAATTCAGTGACTAAAATAAAAAATATTATTAGTCTTATTATTATTATTCAATTATTTAAAACTGTTGTACTGTTGCTATTTATTGAATATTTATTATTATTGATAAATGAAAATATTAAAAAATACTGCTTTTGTAATATTTCTCTGTAAAATAAAGTGTAAAATAATATAACATTAATTTAATATTACAGTACAACTATTAAAAATATGATTTATTGTGTATTTATTATTATTATTACATGGAAATATTAAATTATAAAAATATTGCTATTAATACTTTACTGTAAAATAATATACATTTAATATATAAGAAAAAACAAAGACTATAAAATAAAACATTTTATGATTATTACTATATGATTTAATAAAATGAATTACTAAATGTTGTTACTATTTATTGAATGTTATTATTGATAAATTAAAATATTAAAGAAATATTGCTTTTGTAATATTTCACTCTAAAATAAAGTGTTTAAGAAAAATAACATAATAATATTATTACAGTACAACTATAAAATTAAAATACTAATATTTATGGCTGTATTAATTTCTTAATTCTTAAATGTTAAACCATCAAGCTTTTATTTTAGTGGAAAACTGCAAGAGATTAAAGCTTCTCTTTTGTTGACAACAGCCCATCTATAAAGTTTGGGAAGATGTTTGGCGGATGTTGCGTTCCCAAATTCACATTATAAGCAGCCTAAACTCCCAACAATTATAGATATGAGTTTACACGGAGCAGCATTTACTGCAAAAAAAAACTGAGCTTTTGTTTATTTGTGTATTTAGGACGTTAGCAGAGTACTGCCCCAAACTGCAGTCTCTCAAAGTGAACCACTGTCACAACGTAACCGAGTCCAGTCTGGGCGTTCTGCGCCGGCGTAACGTGGAGATCGATGTGGAGCCTCCCCTGCAGAGGGCGCTAGTGCTGCTGCAGGACGTGGTGGGATTCGCTCCCTTCATTAACCTGCAGATTTAGCACAACATCTGGACCGTTCTGGAGTCCAGAAGAAGTGAGGTACCAGATCAGAACTAGCAATGAAACCAAAACTACCCCCATTTCGCCATTTATTCCAAAAAAACATTTCATATTTGTAAGCTTTCATCGAAATGCTTTTAATGTAGTTCAGTTAGTGGAAGCCTGTGTGAAATGTTTGTTTTGTTTCATAGGTCCCCTCTCATCCACAATCTTTCTCTGGAAGGCTGACTTCTGAAACACTTTTACACCAGAAGACACAACCATGAATCCATATTTCAAGCGCGTGTTTGTTTTAGTGTATTTTAGCATTTAAAAAGAAACTTTCTTTGGTGTGAAACCACGCTGCAGGCTTTCAGAATGAGGACTCGATCAGATCTGGTCCCATCGTTCATGGAATTTATGATCATCATTAGAAGGAAGTTGGTGAAAATATATTATTTATGGAAGCAGCTCTCTGTTTGCATGCAGGAACCAAATGTTGTATCATTTTGCACTCATGAAATACTGAAATATCTGCACTTTTCTGAACATTACAGTCCTTCAGCTTTACTGGACCATCAGATTTTCTCTCCGCTTCATTAGCCAAACCTGTAAACAGGAAGGCAGATCATCCAGGGAGCAATCCAGTCATGTTTTACAGAAGCAAACTGGTGTATTTAGAGCTCTGTGTTGATTTTATTCCCATTAACCTAATAATAGAAAAGAATGGCATTGTTATGTTTAGGAACTAAACACTATAGATTCGTATTTACATGTGATTTGTATGAATTTTGATTCATATGCACCTTTGAAACCTCAGTTTGAAAAAGATTGAAACTGGAAAATCAGTATTGGTTCTGATTTACTTCACAGGTTTGCATCGTTGTTTAAATAAGACAAATCTGATAGTATATTTAATATTGCTATCAAATTGGACTTTTTGCTGGGGTTTCTCTATATGTTGCATTCATAATGCTTCATCGAGATCCTAAATTTACAGAACTGAAACATATTATAAAGTGTGGCCAGGTCTGTAAAAAATGTTCCTATCACAATGTGCTTATTTTTGAATGCTGGAGGACTCTATTTGTTGCTTTATGAGTATTTCAAGGAGTATCAAGATACTGTAACAGGGCAGTTTTTTCTTTTTTTTTCTTTTTTTGGATAATTTTTAATATCACAATGGTTTATGATTTTTGCACATGCATTGTGCTTTAATGTGTTTTGTATAATTCTGTAAATGCGTGGTTGTAAATTAAGTGCATAAATGTTTTATGCAAATTGCTGAAAGAGTATAAAGTCTTGTGCAATACGATGCTTTGAAATATTATTTGGTCTTGGATCACATGGCAAGTTTGTGGTAATGCAATAGTTCACCCAAAAATGAACATTTGCTGGAAATGTACTCACCCTCAGGTTATCAAAGTTGTAGATGAGTTTGTTTCTTCATGGTGCTTGATCTGTGCAGATTTCTCTCCTGATTCAGAAAAGATGATTTTTACAATGCAGAAAGCGTTATTATGGATTATGGACACATTTCAACTCATTTCTTGATTGATTTGTTTCTTACAAACACACAGCTTTTTGCTTCAGAAGACGTTTATTGTTGGACTGGAGCGGTGTGGATTATTGTGATGTTTTTATCAGCTGTTTGAACTCATTCTCACGGCACCCATTCACTGCAGAGCATCCATTGGTAAGTGATGTAATGTTAAATTTCTCCAAATCTGATCCCATGAAGAAACAAACTATTGGACAGACTGCAGGTGAGTAAATTTGCAGCAAATTTTCATTATCGGGTGAACTGTTTCTTTAAAAGAGCAGGATGTTTTCAACCTTTTAACTTTATCACGCTATTAACCAGCAGAGGGCAGTGTAGCCTATGATTTCGGATGGATGAATGAATGGCTTTTATTAATTCCAGGAAGTGGGTATTTGCATTGATTGACAAACACCTGTTCTGTAAAGCATGGGTTTTAACTTTGAAAAGTCTTTTTTTTTTTTTTTTTGCAGTGTTAATGGGGTTTGGATCATAGATATGAAGGCAGAGATGCCGAGGTGTTTTACTTAAAGTCCTAAACAAGTTCAAATCCTGCTCCTGGTGCAAGAAAAGGAGGTTTACTCTCGATTAACTTGTACTCCACATGAATAGAGAGAAGTTGGTGTCCTAATGACCTGAATTACTGAATTATTAGTCATATAGCTTTATTATGCCTGTCGAGCCCTGAAACTCAAACTGTTTCTTGATTGTGAAACTTGTCAGATTTAATTTATAGGCTATGCATCATCTGAAAGGCAGCTAACTTTTTATTCAGCACGTTTCACAAGCAGTGAGTATTGAGACAAATAGAAAAAAAGGCTGAATTAAATTAAGAATAAGGATAGCAAACATGAAAAAAATAAAAATTGACATTGAAATTGTCTTATCGAATTCATAATTATACTACTACAGGAGTATAAATGCATCATCTCTTTTGTATAAATAGCAGGTGTTTTTTACGTAAAAATACAACTACTGTTTGCAATCTTTTTTTTTTCTTTTCTAAAATCTCCACAAAAAAGAGCAATAGAAAAAAAAAGTATTTAAAAGTTAATATAGCCTACATACAGGAAAAAAAGTATAACAGGATTTTGTCATATTTATTTGTGCCTACATTCTGTATATTTATGGTAAAACATTATACTGTATGTCTTTCTCCTCAAATAAAAAAAAAACTGCTCTTTCAGGTCTTGTGTGTTTCTCTGCAATTCGATATAAATCAGAAACAAATCACTTATAGGGTGATACCAGTAGTAAACGCACTGTGTTTACGTTTAGTATTTTCATAGACTGGCTTTATTAATTCGGGATCACGGCGGTTGTTCGGGGTTTGTTTGCCTCCTGAGACTCGACCTGAAAAACTCGTCACACCTGTCAGTAATTTCAGCACGCGAGCAATGAGCATGCGCACTGCGTCTGTACTGGAATACTAACGCGCTGCATACTGCATACTACAGAGAAATAGAGCAAGCAGGGAGAATGGCGATTAGCATGAAACAGATTCTGGAAACGGGCGGGGCTTAGCGGAGCAGACGTGCTCTAATTGGTCAGGGGCTAAATAAACATGGTTAATAATAATTATTCTTACTCAAAGTGTAGGGAAAGCTATTAATGTCTTGTTGATTTTATTTGACCGGATTTTCTCTGTCTTGCAGGCATATTATTTTCATTGCTATTTGAATTCAGTTTGAATGTGTCAACCCATAAATACTAATTATACACCTTACTTTGCAGTATTTATTAAGAATATTAAGAAGATAAAGAATTGTACGGATGTAGTTTCTGTAAACGAAAAAAAATATTATCATTGGTATTCCTCTCTTTTCTCCTATTTTTTTTTCTTTTTTAATTATAATTATGTGATTTTTCTATTTCTATATATGCATTACTATTTTTCTCTTTAAAGTGATCTTATCTTAGTGTTTATTATTTAATTTGTAAGTTTCTGTAACTAAGACATCGATGTCACGTGGTACGTGTTACGTTTCCCAGCGCTACTCTAGACGGACCAATCATAGTCAATTTTGATTACTAGGATATTTTTTTCGTAATCAATTTTTTATGAAGATAATTAGAATGAATTGCAATAATCATATCGGCTAATATGCTTTAAAATAAAAAAAAAATTTAAACGAATACACTGTTTAATATACAAATGTCTCTAATAATTTTGAATTAAATTCGAATGCAGCTCAAAGGAGGAGCCATCTTTATGAGCCACCGCGCGCCCCCTGGAGGAAGAACCACCAAATGTAACAGGTAACAGCAGCACTTTCCATCCTCTGTGCGTACTGCACTACTAGTAGGAGAAGTATGGTAAAGCGTGATTGAAAATACACCTCGTGCTCTTACCGGCTGGGCTGATGTCTTACTCTGTTAGTTAGACACACTCAGTTCTCTGCTGTCCTTCTCATTCCTCCGTAAAACACGAATGCATGACAGAGTCGAGGAGCTGTCCACTTCAGCACCGCCAGCAGGACTGTCCAGACAAACCCAGACTGAGCCTCTTGAGGATGATGAAGATGATGAAGATGATGATGCTGCTGCTGAGTGCATGCGGACTGCAGTAACACACACCAGCAGCAGTCAGCAGCACCACACACCCGCATTCCTCCATCCACACAGCCACCTGAGCCTCCGGTAAGAGTTTCTCCTGTTTCATGCGTGTCTGCTGGCTTTTATATGGAGCTGATGTCCTGATGCATTGGCATGCTGTTGCATGCAGAAACATTGCAGTCAGTCTTGGGAGAGTGTCGTATTCAAACACATGGATCAGTGTTGATTTCCACGAGATGTGGCCTGAGATTCCTTGTCCTAAAGGACACCGGAAAGGCGACCTTTAAATGCTCAAATAAAGCTGGAATATGTAGGTTTTGGGCGTTTTATCTTTCAACAGTGTAATAATTTTGTAAGTTCTTCGTTGGAATCAACCAGTTGATCATTCTAGGACGTTGAGGTCACTTTGATGCTCTGCATCTGTATTAATCTGAAAGATGTGATGTGGTTCAGTGCTGCTTGATTTTAAGATTTAGACGTCTAGTAGATGTTCTTTTCTCCTTTCTGATTTGCTGCTTGTGTTTTGATATGAAACCCTACATAAGTTTTTATGATATCAGCAGTTTGTTTTTGTATGCTTGTGGAAAGGTGAAGTGTGTTGGGGGTGTTTTAATGGATGATACTAATACAGTGTAGATATATGCAGAGTACAACTTAATAAGAAGAAAATGTAATGTACAAAAAAAAATTGGAAGCAAGTATTTTACACAATATTTCCACTAATGTACTATGGTATATTAACTAGGTTAATTAGCCAATATTGGTCTCTTTTGAGATTATTTGGCAATAACTATGGGAAATTAATTCACGTTTTAGTTCCCCTTTGTTTATTCATCAAATTTGGAGAAATGTAGCATTGCATAACTTGTTCACCAATGGATCCTCTGCAGTGAATGGGTGCCGTCAGAATGAGAGTCCAAACAGCTGATAAAAACATCACAATAATCCACAGCACTCCAGTCCATCAGTTAACATCTGGAGAAGACAAAAGCTGCATGTTTGTAAGAAACATTATTAAGACATTTTAACTTCAAACCGTTGCTTTCAGCTAAAATACAAGTCCATAATCCACAATAATGGAACGCTTCCTCCAGTGAAAAAGTGGTCTGGTCTGAATCAGGAGAGAAATCTGCACAGATCAAGCACCGTTTACAAGCCAAAACAGCTCTAAACAAATATGTGGGTGGATTTTGATGTAAGAAGAACAACAGGATTATGGACTCGTGTTTTAGCCGGAAGCAACTGTTTGAAGTTAAAAACAAATTAATGATAGATTTGTGTCTTACAAACACACAGATTTTCACTTCACGAAATGTTAACTGATGGACTGGAGTGCTGTGGATTACTTGTGGATTATTGTGATGTTTTTATCAGCTGTTTGGACTCTCATTCTGACGGCACCCATTCACTGCAGAGGAGCCAATGGTGAGCAAGTGATGTAATGCCTGGGGGTGAGTACATTTTCAGCAAATTTTCATTTTTGGGTGTCCTTTAAGTTGTATTGGCATTATATCGGCCTTCAGGCATCCTGCTCTCTAGAAATCAGTGTCTGCTCTGAACAATAAGATATAATGCCAATATACAAAACATAATGAGGACAGTTGAGACTTGCACACCATTTGGAATAGTATGTTGCACAATATTCACTTAAAATGCACTCAAAACCTCAAACAAAAAGTGGTCATTATTCACTGGCAAGACTGCTGGTATATTTCGCAATTGGCACTAGGAGAAACAAACACTTCAGTTAAACGGTCAAGGCGGCTCGGTTAACAGCTGATGCGATAACCTCAAATTGTCCAGGAAATTGGCAGATTAATCAGCCCGGCCAATACAGTGGTGTATCATTAGTGCTGTTCAAAGCTGTTAGGTCTCATTCAGTCGTTCGGTCCCTGTTGAAAGAGCCGTGTTTCTCTCTGTCTGGTTTTGGCGGTTCCAGCAGATGCTGTCCTGAGAGAGACGTGTGACTCCTTAAGGATGATGAATTATAGTGTCTGACACAAAGCTGCAGGTGCCGCGACCGTTCGGGATACAAATGGCACGTCCTTTA